ATGGAACTTCGTCAAGCGAACTATATAGCTAAGAAAATGAACTGTTCTCCCCGATCGGAAGCTAGCTGCATGAAACGACTGTAATTCGCAGGGTTTTAGTAGCTACGAGCAGTCTAGAGCGTTAGATTAAACGTGGGAGGAAAAGCATGGAATCGTACGACCAAAGTCTACTTACAATGGCAGCCGTCCAACATGGCGACATCAGAAAGCTGGTATATAAATATCTTACTTGAAATCGATCTACTAAACCAAGGATCAAGAAGATGGCGGTCATTACGAGCTGAACTATGGAAACGACTTTCAAATCCCGACTGTTGTACGCCATTTTACGTCAAGCTGTTCAAAGTTGTAAGAGTTATTGCAATCAAACGTGGTGTGCGGTAGTTCTAACAGATAATTTTCCGCATGCGTGACTTACTGGGGAAATTTCATATCCAAATTTGTAAACATGTAAATACTAACCAGACACGCCGCTTGTACGGGCGTTCTGTGGTCTAAGCTGAATTTCAAAATTCAACTCTATATTTCTTTCAATCACTTCGCCGAACGGTAAAATGGGGCATAACAGACGATTCTTGAAAGTCATCTCGATGGTTCAGGTTGTGATGGGGGCCATCTTTTTTGTGCTTGGCATTGTGGATAGGTATGAAGTCCGCTTCATATACACCAGTTACTTGTTTGCGCCTCTCTGGATAGCTGCTCTCGTAAGTACTTCGGGCTCTTGTCCCTCATTCAGAAGTTGTCTTAATGTTACCTTAAAACAGACTAAGCGAGGACGCTAATAATTAAGTCTCGATTAGTTTTAGTAGAATCCTTCCCATAACAGTGGCAGGTTATCACTGCGTGTTTATATTGTAACATGTACTATTCCAAGCAGTCCACGTTCAACAGCGATGGAAAGAGTGATCCATCACGCACTCTGTATTGTTTATCTTTGCGTTAGCCAGAGGAGAAGATAGCTATTTCTGGCCCTTATTTTTGTACGCTGTTAACACGAAAATTAAACCCGACGTGTTTCTCGCTTGTGTGCACGCAGACTAGAGAGAAGAGGAAAAGAAAAGCTAAATTTTTTCATTACAAATTGCACCTCGTGTTCTCGCTTGAAAGGTCAGTCTGAATGTGTCTAGGATTACTTTTGTACATAAACCTTTCATGCAAAGTGGATTTATGTCAACGAGGAAACGCAGAGCACGTCGCATAGCGCTTGACTGCGGTGTAACAGCAGCAACAGGGAGCTTAAAAAATGACGACGGCGGCTAGAAGAACGACGGCTGGAGAAAAATAGATTTACATTTTACCTTTGAAATTCTCAGTTGTCTACAACTATTCACTAGGATTAGTGAATGTAACGCCAGCGATCAATTCAAGAAGAAAATACGAAAAATTAGCCGTCGTGGCTCGTGTTCTTCAAAATATTATTTTATATTATTTTCAGACCCCACATTGACTGATCCATTTCAATCTTGACTTGTCCACTTCACTGTTGTATTTTTTGCGGTTGGGCGCGCAAAGAAGGCTGTTTCGTTTCGTGCCACGCTAAATCACTTTTAATTTCGTTCAA